AATATAACAAAGATGACAGAAACCACAGAATCAAAGCTGTAGTCGATACAACAACTTTTACAACAACTTTTACAACAACCTTTACAACAACCTTTACAACAACTTTTACAACAACCTTTGCAACAAATTTTACAACACCTTTACAACAACTTTTACAACAACCTTTACAACAATTTTTACAACAACTTTTACAGGAGCTTGTAGAACTACTGTTCAACAACTTTTACAACAACCTTTACAACAACTTTTACAGCAACTTTAACAACTACTGTTACAACAACTTTTTTAACAATTTTCACACCAACTTTTTTAACAACTTTTACAACTCTTTTTTTAAAAACTTGTTCAACTACTTTTACAATACAGAACTATATTTAAAGATTTCCTCTTGCTGAGTTATGTTTGTAATGACAACTTCAACTTTTACAAAACGTTCAGTGTTAATAAAATATTCTCTACTGACCTATAATATAACAGTCAATATTTGGATTATAATTTCTTAATTTAAAATCTCAGGAGATGACTAGATAAACTGTGTTTGTATCACTATTAGTCTATGAATATATAAAGTTGTTTCTGGTGTATAGAGATGGTTATGTCGTTACACAACGAGGATGAATGGGGAGAGATGAGTCATACACCGGAAGGAATGAAGAATGAAGGAATCTTGCCAAAGAGCAACAAAGATATCTACCAATTTTTAGGACATATAAAGATATCTTTCAACTTTTAGAAAAAATAGGTATCTACCAATGTTTAGAACAAATATAGATATCTTTAAATTTTTAGAACACATAGATATCTTTTAACTTTTAGAAAAGTTTTACAGAATAGATATCTTACTAATTTTAGAGAATAGATATCCATAAAGTTTTTAGAATAGATATCTTACATCTTTTAGAGAATAGATATATATCTATCAACTCAACATAGATGACTATTAACTTATAGAGCAGAGATATTTATCAATTATTACAACACAAACATATACAAACAAGGACAAGGGTTTCCAGTCAAAATTGCTTGCAATTACGCAAAAAGATTTCTTTTGCTCATACGAATGATTGCAACGCGAAATTAAGGATTTATTTCAAGGACCAAATAAATTCTCGTCTTTCAGTTGAATTTTTGCAGGATAAAGTTCTGAGGTTGAAGGATTATTATTTTTTTTTTGATTAATTTGCTGGAATTTTATGCTTTTCTTGGAATACATATACTGTCCCACTAAAAACATTTCCGAGGTTTAGAATCTATTATCAAACATCGTTTGTTCTAGTAAATCATTATCCAAATTGTATTTAACCAATTGATGATATTCCTGAAAAGTGTGTAGATATGTCTAGGAAGGTAGATATCTCTACTGACAAAAATGGGCTGGGAATGGGTAAAGCTATAACTGTAGAGGAGGATAGGAGGATATATGGGCAGGACACGAAGGCAAAGGGGAAAAAGATGGGGGCAGGGGAGGAGAAAAGAGTTTGTCAGTATAATATAATGAGAAATAAAAAGCTGTTTTGTTTTAAACCATGGGTCAACCTTAATGTGCTATTAGTAGGTATTGTTCAATTTTAGACAATTATAAGCATTTGCCTTATAGAATCTATTGATATAAATATAATAATGTCCGAGCTTAACAACCGAGGTTATTGAGTGAATGATGTACGCTAATCCTTTACGAATTGTTTAGGCCAGGAACTACAGGGTGTCCCTCAAAGCATGGACAGTTGGTGAATAGTTTAAAATGTCTTCTTCCATAATTTATACAGTTCTTGGATGCCAAACAGAATAATAAAAACATCACGTGGCTGTCGTATTTTAGTAAAATTGATTTTAAAGTAAAATATATTTGAGTAAAAGATTTTTTTAGCAAAATAAACTGCAAAAATTCTTTAATATCTTATATAGTATATGGAATAAGACATTCAATACTATTTACCCACTATCATGTTTCATGGGACACCCTGTATAATACAAAGAGTGTACTGCATATTTGACTGGCCTAACCTACATACGACTTTTACCTTTTTTATTAACCTTCAAATTGACGGAGATATTGGAAAATTTGTCCAGTTTCCAGTTTTTTAAAACTTAACAAAACTAATCAAATGCTTTACATATCCGTCAATTTTCAGATGCTCATAAGTCATAAGACTCTCAACCTTTTTTTGATGCACTTTATGTCATTTATTAATTATCGGGAATCAAAGACTCTCAATTTATGTTTATATCATTGTTAGTAAACATTTGTAAGTGCATGTACAGAGCTGAAAACTTTAGAACTGGATACCTTTAATCTCGATCACTTAATCTGAATATCCAATGTAGATTCTTTTAATTTCATTCTTAATCCGCCCCACAATAGATTGGTTATAGAGTATAAGTATACTCTATAACCTTGGGGAGATTAGATCGAACTAGCATTACCCCCAGATCAGCTTAAAAACCAACCACATGACCGATTCACCTCAGATTTTGATTGGATAACTCGTGAGAACCACGGAAAAGATTTTAGATTAGTTGGAATTGTTGTCTAGATCTTATCATAAATAGCATAAATTCGTTCGAATAATTATTCTCGTGATTATTTTTTCAACGAAGAAGACAATTTAACTTTCTTTGATAAACTAACGTCTTGTTGAACCTTTTGAAAATGAAAATGAAATACATTAGATTATGCGCTGAGTAAAGTCATAGAATGTCTTTTCTATTTTTGACTTTAATTTCCAATCTCAGAGGCCGAGAAACAAATCAATAACGCGGCCTGAAAATGTCGTATTCTCTGAAGTATTTACAGAATAATTAGACAATTATTTTGAAGAAGAAGAAAACATTTAACCAGAAAAATATTACACATGATCTAATTTAAGTGATCTTACTTGTGCCAGCAATTAGAGACACAAGTCACAAAACATCAATTTCTAAAAACATGGTTCCTCCATACAGATGCATGCTGCAAACATTTAGTCTCCGACAAAACAATGTCGAACATACAGTGAAACCCTTAATAACGAATACATCGAGAGAATTCATCAATTGTCGTATTCTTCACTTTCTGATAATGGAATGTTGCAGATATGTAGTTTTTAAACTAAATGATTATATGGAGCTCTTTAAAGCTGTTCCCGCATATTCATGGCTATTTATTTATTTTCGCAAATACTGAAATTTACGTAATATAGTATAAAACTCATTGAAAAATTGTCAAGACGACATTTGACAAATTCTTCCGATGTATTCGTTATTAAGGGTTTCACTGTTTAAAGTCCAGAATTATTTACCCCGCCATTGGCATATATAGTGGGTTAAAATGCTTCCATAAGGAGTTAAATTAGAAGCATGTGAAATTATGTAATATTGTGTTAAAACAAATGTGAACTTGTCGGCGCATATGATCTTCATCAGATTGCTCCTGGGTATCCTCAATCTTTATTTACTTTAAGATTAAAGTTGTTTTTTAGACTGAAGTTATGTTTTATATTATTAATGAGCCTGGGCAGAAATCATCATCATTTGAGTACTGGAGACCCCCCTTCATTGAAGACCCCAATGGAGATATCGCTGGAGACCCCCAAATTCTCGTTGGAGACTCCCATATTTTCATTGGAACCCCCGAGATTGCCTAAATCTTAAATCTTCTCAATCCATAGTTTCATGGGACGGACTTCCCAATATAAAAAACGCAGAGTACAGCAAGTTCATTGTATACCTAGGGTTACCTTGACAAAAAATGAGACTTCAAAGACGGCTGTAGAGAATTTGTGCAACCTTCTCCCTAAAATTATTGGTTCTCTGTAACATAAACTTTTCATGGCCAAATTATTTAATCCATCATCAAAAGATTTCATCAACCCGGACTAGCTTTTAGATCGTTTTATCAGGAGAGTTTTATGTCGGCATTAAAGTCTCGTCGTTCGTGGGTAACCCTGTAGTAAACACTTTAGACAGTTGTAATAGTTTAGTTTAGTATAGTATTCAATACAATTGGGGAAAGCAGTTTCCGGACATAATTATTGTGTAAACTTGTTACTTTGCAGGAAAACGTTTATAAATATAAAGTCACCATTTTTTATATTGTTTCCTGGTGTTAGATATAACGTACAGTACAATAAACATCAGTTGCATTTTCTAATTAATTTTGATATTTTGCATTTTTGGAGGGGAACTACTGTAGGATATGTACGCCTTATACGGGGACCTTGAGGTGGTGGGTTGGGAGGGAGGAGGGGGGGTGCAAAGAGGTTCAATTCCAGAGGCTTTAGTATTAACCTTTCCTTCAATCAGAATATACAATAAAATAGTCTGAACCCAAAACAAGCTCTTTATTCAAACCAAACAAGCTGTTTATTCAAACCAAACAAGCTGGTTATTCAAACCAAACAAGCTGTTTATTCAAACCAAACAAGCTGTTTATTGAAACCAAACAAGCTGTTTATTCAAACCAAACAAGCTGTTTATTCAAACCAAACAAGCTGTTTATTCAAACCAAACAAGTGGTAAACAAAAAATTCAAATAAGTCATATTTCCATAGCAAGCAAGTTTATTACTTAAAACAAATAAGTTATTAATACAAACCAAACAATTCATAAATACAAACCAAACAATTCATAAATACAAACCAAACAATTCATAAATACAAACCAAACAATTCATAAATACAAACCAAACAATTCATAAATACAAACCAAACAATTCATAAATACCAAACCAAACAATTAATAAATACAAACCAAACAATTAATAAAAACAAACCAAACAATTAATAAATACAAACCAAACAATTAATAAATACCAACCAAACAATTCATAAATACAAACCAAACAATTAATAAAAACAAACCAAACAATTCATAAATACAAACCAAACAATTAATAAATACAAACCAAACAATTAATAAATACAAACCAAACAATCCATAAATACAAACCAAACAATTCATAAATACAAACCAAACAATTCATAAACCCAAACCAAACAATTAATAAATACAAACCAAACTATTCATAAATGCAAACCAAACAATTCATAAATACATACAGAACAAGTTGTAAATTTAACTCAACCCAAATAAGGTTTGTCTTACCAGGCCATCTTCAACAAAGTAGCCATAGGTTCAATACGAATCAAAATATACAAATAAAAGATTTTGTAAATCAAAAACAGTAAATATTGTTTACATAACCATGCAGTGACAATTATAACCCCAAAATAGTCCAGCCAACCCAATTTGGCAATAATGTAGCGTAATATCTGAAAACAAACCTGTTTTTTTTATTTTTAAATCTATTTAAAGTTTTATTCCAGCGAATCCTCCCCGAACAATAAAACCGTTAAGCTGGACCGTTTTCAGTGAAAAATAATACATTGAGCATGGCTGAATTGGAAATGAGGATGAATCCATTTGAAGATGTGTACACGGAGTTCTTCATGGAAAAGGCAGTCCGTCTTGGATCTGGGTCTTTCGGGAAGGTTTATCTAATCCAGGTAATTCTTTTTTTCAAATGTAACATAACAAAACAATAGTATCATAATCATTATCATTCTGTTTTTTATCAAACACTTGTTCCCTTGATTTAATAAGGCAAAGTCCGTTATGTGGCATGCACTAAAGTTAATTTCTACGGATTGGAACATATTTCCAAATTTAATTCTAACAACTTATTTCTGGTATTTCTCTTCCTCGATTTAAAAAATCATGGAGATAAATGTTTGTCATGTATAATTCTAGCAAAAGAGATGTTTTTGATATTTTTGATAGTTAAAAGAAGGACACCTCGATTTTCAGTTTCTAAGAACTACGCAGTACCATCATAGTTATGAACTTTACCTGTTTATCCATTTCAACTCAGCTATTATCAAAAAGTTCAATTTCAGTGCAGTAGTTCGAATACCAATTAAAAATAACTATTTACCAAAGAATATAAAAGAATATAAATTAAAAAAATGATTTGTGTCAACAAATATAACTCCTCGTTTTACATCTGCGTTTTGCAAAAACAATTAATATAAATACATCTCAAACGTAGCAAAAAGTATATATTTATTCTTTATATTTCTCGATAAATCACAACTAAAGTTACCTTAAAAATGCATTTTTGAATAGAGAAGAAAAGATGGAGGAACCTTTGCAGCCAAATACCAACAGCTTTCAGGCAATAATTCAAAGAGGAAAGTTTAGATTTAAAATATTGTAATTTGTAAAAGATGGATTTAGAAAAAATCATCTGCTAAAAAAATGCTAATGATCGTTGACTAAATTGGATCCTTTAAAAGAAATAAACATTGTTTTATATTTTTTCTATTTCTGAGGACACGACAAATTAATAATTTTTACTGCTAAACTTACCCTATTAACGTCAGGGAAATAAATACTAATCCTTGGCAACAATTAAACCTGGAAATCCAAAAATATATTTCAGTTTTTAAGATGCAAAGCAGGTGCAAAAAGTGCAGCTCACGCTGATTTAATAGTTCGGTCCTTGACCCAGCAAGCTTTAACATTTATCACAAATGGGCCTATTGAAAATAAATTTTTCTCTTTTATATTTTTTTTCGGCGAAAGCGCGCGTTTTAGATTAAAATTATCAACTCCGTAAGTTCAAAGATTGTTAAATTATAGACCAAAACAAGATTGAACTCAAACTGAAGAAACCAAAGCCCAGGTTAGTCCTGATTGCCAGCCTTAAAGCAGGAATTAAAAAATTTCAATTTTATTTTCATTTTGAAATTTGGAATTGGAGTTGCAGATTTCTTTTATTTTTGAATAATTTGAAAACATATAATATTATATTCGACTTGAATAGTTTTTATCTCTCTGTGACATAACATCATAAAAATCTAACATGAATTCTAATACAAAACTGAGACTGTTTTAGTTTTCCTGGATTAAGTCTAGTCGATCTTGTATTTTTGCAGTGATTCCTGTTTTAAGATTGTGAAACACGCAATCATGAATCAGGATATTGGCCCCAAAACATTCAGTTCAAACTGAAGAAATTTAACTAAACTCTGACTATTATTAAACATTCCCTGGGGACATATTAGATCCGGATCGTTTAGCCGGATCGTTTTTCCTGTTTTGACGTATATTAGTTGCAAACAAACAGACAAATATATACAACCAAATTGTATACATATAGAAATAAAACCATTATAAACGCATTATATCAACATCGCTTATGGTAATAATTGCGTATTTTGCGGGGTGAAGCTTTTAATATTTTACAGAAATTAAAAATTTGAAATTGAAGGAATACAGTTATTTTAGGTTTGATTTAGTTTATTTAATTTTGCAATGTCCTAAAATTGAACTTGACAGATCGGTGAGAATTGAGGCAGAGATGCTTTCAAGATTGTACAAACAAAAAAGGTAAGCAGAGGTTTTTCTTTTGTTGGACAATCTAAGCTGGCGTTAGTAGGTTTTAATCTTAAGTGACTCACGTTTTTAGATTGGGTCAGATGTGTATTCAGGGTGGGCTAGGGTGGATTAGTAAAATCTATGGTTTTGGGGCCCGGTATATTCCTATAGAACGATTTTTGGATCCCCCCCCCCAGCCCCTCCCCACTCCTATCAATTTTGTAAATGGATCTTACAGAAAGTGTCTCAACTTAACCTAACCCGTGGCCACAGCGCTCGGCCCCCTAGCCCATCCTAGCCGCAGCGCTCGGCCCAGAAAGTGTCTTAACCTAACCTAACCTAACCCTAAATAAATAAAAAANGGGGGGTCCAAGAACGTTCTCTAGGACTCCTAGGACAGACCCTATACTTGTTGATTTTGAAATTGGATTCAAGGTGTACAGTGTGCCGCGTATTAACACCAATAAAACAAAACACAATATCGTCGTACTTAGGCAGGATGCTATATCGTTTGCACTAATGTCGGATTGAACGAACGATACATTTGCAGTTTGCACTAATGTCAGTTGATTAGAAACCGATTTGTATTACAATTGTGCAAATGAACACAAATCGAGCTTGACCGTGTTTAGTTCAAATTGGACTAAAATTGTATTTTCCCGCCAGAAATATAATAACACACGGCACGTTAAGGAGAAGTGTTCGAATTCTTTCTACTTGAGTGGGGGTGGTTCCTAACTTGGCGGAGGGGGGGATAGATAAAACTCCTAAATTGATTATTTGGCCGCAGCGCCGGCCCCCTAGCCTGTCCTAGCCGCGGCGCTCGGCCCCCTAGCCTGTGCTAGCCGCAGCGCTCGGCCCCCTAGCCCATCCTAGCCGCAGCGCTCGGCCCAGAAATAGTCTTAACCTAACCTAACCCTCAATAATAGGAGTTTTATCTATCCCCCCCTCCGCCAAGCTAGGAACCATCCCACTTGAGTGCCAATGTATAAAAAACTCGAAAATTACGATAGGATAATTCCACGCAAAAAAATACCCCAACTTTTCAACGGTATTCGGATTTTTTTTTTTAGTTCCGAGTATCCATGTACTGTGCCGCCCATGTATACAATTTATGTAAAATATTTTGGTAACATATGATTTCAAACACGAGCAATTAGCTCTGTAGATCGATGTTATTCTTTTCAATTTATAAAAAGAAAATTCTATTGATCCAAAGTTTTTAAATCACATCTCAGAAATGTTCCCACATAGCTGTATTTTCTAAATAGATTAAAATTATTTTTTTCTGAAAACCAATCCACAAACATTCATATGTAGAATAAACATGTTTTGCCGAAACATATGTAAAAAATGTAATCAATTTATCACATGCATATTACACATAAAAATTATGTCAACATAAAACTATTGGATTTTAAATAAATATCTAGATTTTAAAAATGTTTTTAAATCATATAAAAATCTAATTTTTATTTCTTAGCAACAGAATCATTTTTGACCCTGCACACAAAAAAATGTTTACAGCTACAGAGAACATGAATTCATTAAAAATAGAGTAAGTAAATTCTGTTCTAGGGATGATAGAGACTTTGTGACCTCGCTGTTCATAAATTACTCTGAATGCGTTCATTAAAAATGTATTTCTAATTGGAACGGGAAGGCTGATCAAATTTTATTTATTACTATAATTTTTCATTATAATTGTCTGTTTTGATTTTATCAAAGTCTGGTAATTTTTTTTAATCTGAAAACTTTCAATAGAATAAACAACTTAGAAAAAAAGTTTTAAGAAAAATTAAATTTTTTTAGAGACATTACAATTTATTAATATGAGAAATAAAACATAACATATGTGGTCAAAAGTTTTAAAAACAGTTAAATTCAATTGTTAAGGTACCTGCACATTTGTGTAATATTCTCTTTATTTAACATCCCTTATTTGCAGTGACGTACGACGGGGGGGGGCGCGCCCCCCGCCCCCTCTACGCATGCCCCCCCTGAGAGGCTAAGGGGGGGCACCCATGGGGGAGGCTCTTTTAAAATTACATCTGCTTGCATTTCCCTTCCTCAGGCCAGGCACATTGGCGTACCTAGGGGGGACAGTAGTCCTTTTGCCCCCCTGGGAGTTCCAGGCGGGGCCCTGCCTCCCCTGGAAAATACAAAATTAAAAGGAAACTACGTTTAAAAAGTAACACCTGACAATGACAAAGACTAAGGATTTGTCTGAATTCACTGTTAATACAAGGAGAGAAAAGTTTTAGCCTTCTAAAGAGAATACTTCATTACACAAGATGTACTATGACGGAGAGCAGACTTAACGATCTT